CATCCCCTTACTCAGCCCAGGGACTTAGAAGAAGGGCTTAACAAATATTAGTGGAATTAGGGACAAGCGGAATTACAAACCTGCAGAACAATTGGTGAGTTCAAAGGAAGAGAGGATCACAGTTTTTTTAAATTAGATTCTTTTCAGCCATACCCTTACAGATTGTCATTCATAGCACTCTCTTCAAAAATGATCACGCTTCCATTTGACATACAAAAAAATAAAGAGAGTGACAGAGACAGAGACAGAGAGGGAAGAAAGAGGGAGGAAGGAGGGAGGGTGGAAGGAGGGTGGAGGAAGGAAGGAGGGAAGGAAGGAAGGAAGGAAGGAAGGAAGGAAGGAAGGAAGGAAGGAAGGAAGGAAGGAAGGAAGGAAGGAAGGAAGGAAAAAAAGAAAGAAGGCAACACCTGGGAGCTTCCTATGTCAAACAACAGTCCCTCACTGCCCATCCTAAGCAGAATGCTTATAGAATACAAATCAACTTCACTACTAGCTACTCCTAAAAGATAATTAAGAAGGACAATGTGATTTGGGAAAGGAGGAAGGAGAGAATCCCTAACTCCCACAGCTGACCAGAAATGACTTGAATTCTCTGACATGTTATATTATGGGTGTTACTATCACATCCCAGCGATGAGACAGAAAATGACAGTGGATCTTTCATGGAGTCCCAAGCAGATCATCACCAGACCTCATCTTTCTTTACTGAGCACCTACTATGTTTCACAGCTCAGCAGCCCAGAAACTAATTCAGATCAGCTTGGCCCCAGTGGGATAAAGTTTGAGCCATGCATGATAAAGCTTGAATTAAATGCTTATTTAGAAGGAAGGAACAAGCAAGCTGCCTCAAAAAGAAGGAAAAGGGCACCAGCCCCCATTCTGGGAGGGACAACGTCTAGACCTCCCTCCCCTCAAAGAAAGTCTTATGTGTGGACCCAGGTGCTGCTGAGGGGGGCCTGGTGGGGTGGTGGGGGATAAAAGGCTTTCTGGAGGCCCTCTGACCCCAGCCGTCCCACGGGAAATGAGCGAGGAGGCTGCTGGCTGGCAGACAAGCAGGTGTGCCCTTAAGAAGCCATGGAGATTAGCTGGGGCTTATCCAAACCTCTGCAGGAGGCAAATCTCTCCTGGCTCTCTCAGGAGACCTCAGCGTTCCTCTGGCATCAAATAAGCCAGATGCAGAATGGACGTCAACTTGGCCTTTGTGAATCCAGGGCCCCAGAGCAGGAATCTGGACACCATAACACTCACCAGGGCCCCCAGCGAGAATGAGTTTCCGAACAATATGTTTAGAAAAAGGAAAAGAGAGCAAAAGAAACGACCACAAGTTGGAATCACAGATAAATGAAGCCTCACTTGTACTTGGCTCTTTGTCTTTGGGGCAATTTTTACACCGCATCCACCCCCACCCCCACCCCCGGCTCCTCATTTGACAATTTGACCCAAAGTTTCTTCTTTCTCTAGGAAATATAGCTTCTGGGAAAAATAGGTGGTATCTGCTCTTCAGCAAAGGTAAAAGCCAACAGAAGGCTCAAAGGTTGAGAGCCTCCTTCTCAGGTGCCCTAAGGAAAGCAAATTAGCAACATGAGCAGGGGAAGGAGGGAAAAGGGGTTTCCCGTCAGTGCAGAATATACCCATTTAATTCCATGCCAAGGTCCAGTGATGTGGGAGAAAGAACACTGGCTTTAGATCCACCAGATATGCATTAGAATCCTGATTCTGCTGTGTACAAGCTGTGTGACCCTGAACAAGTCGCCTAACCTCTCTGAGCATCAATTTTCCCATCCTAAGGTGAGCATTAAGCAAAACTGTATAAGCAGCTGGCTGAGTACGTTGCTCGATACGTGCTCGATAACTTAGTTCCTTCCACTCTTCCCTCTTTCGACAACCCAATTCTCTATATAAAATAGTAGATAAAAACCCTACTATTTCACACTTGTCGAAACCCATTCCTAGGGAGGGTCATTCACTTGCCCAAACCTCATCTAGATGGAAAGAGTAGAGATCAGAATCAGAATCCAGATTTCCCTGACGCCCTTGCTAGGCCTTGCTGTTGATGGGCACCCTAAAGATGACCCAGTGTCCAGGCTCAGAAAGGTCCAAGAATGGCTGTGGCAGAAGGGAGACCTCAGCATCAGATGCTAGTACCCATAGGCTACCATGTGGAGGAGTCCACCAGGGAGGATGGAGCCATAACTGTCTCTCAAACATGGCTGAAACTCACCAAGAAACACGTGGGATGTATGGGGTTGGGGGGGCGGGGGGAGGAGCAGTCTTCACAGCTTTAACTAACAGTGTAACCAAGAGCCCTCTTATCTTTTAAACTGGTTGTGCCACCACACACACCCAAGTACAAGACAGCTGACTCTGGAATGTCTGAAATGGGTTCATGTCCTTGACGCAATGACAACAACAATAATAGGACTTTTTCTCAATTCACCACCTTCCCTGACAGCGCATGCGTTGCAAGCAGGACCATCTCTGCAGACCCTGGGTACAGCCTTCTCTCCACCTGACTCTCAGATCATCTCTAGGGTAGGAAGGTTCTCTGCGAGCCAGACCGTGGTCCATCTTCTCTTGGTTTCTTCCCAAAGGTACTTAAATTTCTACTTCTAATGATGTAATGTATGGTGATTAACATAACATAATAAAATAAAATTTAAAAAAATTCTACTTCTCTTTGAAATATCCTACCACCAGTACCTACATGGATAATTTTAGAACTAGGACTCTCATATAAATGAAGGAACTGAAGGAGGCTCAGAGATGTGGAAAACTTGCCCCAGGTCACGAAGCTAACTTGGTCAGCTGTTGACTGGGTGCCCGCCTCTTCCACTGATTGACCCAGGGTTTGGGGGACCCATGTGGACAGGAGAAACAATCTCTTTGCACAGTTTTATCAGTCTAGAGCTACCTGTGCAAAGAGCTCGTGAGAAAGGCACTCAAGGTCAAGTGTGATAAGGCCACAACCAGTATGACAAATAGTCAAATATTCCATTAAATATCCTCAATGAAAAAGTAAATAAATAAAATGCCAAAAAGCCCTTGCAAGAAGTATTACTTTTTTAATTTAGAGATTTCTTTATGGGTCCCCAAGGCAGTGTGCTATAATTAATATGGAGAAGGCAAATCACTATAAATACATTCTTTGGTGTAGTCTCATCATGTCTGATAAAGTTGTTTCCTTCAGCTATAATTTACTGATCACCTACTCTGTTCCAGGTATATCCTAAGTGCCAAGAATATGCAGATGGACAGCCACAGCCTCTGTGCTCAAGAAACTCACTGTCTAGGGAAGGGTAAAAACAAGTACTACATAAAATAAATCAAAGACCTAAATATAAGGCCTAAAGCTACAAAACACTTAAGAGAAAATATAGGGAAAAGTTTCATTACATTGGATTTGGCAATGATTTCTGGGATGTAACATCAAAAGCCAAGCGGAAAAAGAAAAAAAAAATAGATAAATCAGACTACATCAAAATTTAAAACTTCTGTGCATTAAATGGCATGATCAGCAAAAAGGCAATCCGCTGAATGGAAGGAAATATTTGCAAATCGTCTATCTGATGAGTGATCCCGAATAGATGAAAAACTCCTACAACTCAACAAAAACAAGTAACTCGATTCAAAAATGGGCAAAGGACTTGAATTTTGGCAAATAAGGCATACAAATGGGCCGTAAGTACATGAAAATATCACCACGTCTCAAGGAAATGCAAAACTTACACTACAATGAAATACTACCTCCCTCTCTTTAAGATGGTTGCCACCCCAAAAAAGCAGAAAATAAGCATTGGAGAAAGTATGGAGAAACTGGAAGCCATATGCCCTGTTGGTGGAATGTAAGATAATGTAGCCAGTTGGTAAATAGTGTACGTTGGTGCCTCTAATACTTAGAAATACAACTACCCTATGATTTCGCAATTGCACTTGTGGGTACATATCCAAAAGAATTGAAAGCAGGGTCTTGAAGAGATATTTGTACATCCATGTTCATAGCAGAGTTACTGACAGGAGCCAAAAGGTGGAAGTGACCCAAGTGTCCATTGACAGATGAATGGATAAATAAAAGGTGGTCTATACATACAATGGGATATTACTTGGCCTTACAAAAGAAGGAAATCCTCATACATGCTACAGTATGGATGGACTGGAGGACATAATACTAAATGACAGAAGCCAGTCACAACACAACAAACTGTGAAGACAAATAGTATACGATTTCACTTGTATCTGGAATCTAGAAAACAAAACAAACGAACAGACAAAAAAGACAGAAACAGATTCGTAAGCACTGAGAACAAACTGGTAGTTTTCAAAGGGGAGGAAAATTGGGAGGTGGGGGTTGATATCAGGAAGGAGAGGTAGAGGGACAAGCTTCCAATTATAAGTCACAGGGATGAAAAGTATAGCATGGGAAATATAGTCAATAATATTGTAATAACTTTGTTAAAAAATTATTAAGATAGTAATTTTTATGTCATGTATATTTACTAAAAAATAAAAAAATAAGAGAATACAGGCACTGCAATCACCACCATCAGTAAACTTAGCAGGAGCGAATGGAAATCTCTAGCCCTGGCAAACACCGCAAGGGACCGCCCTAGGGGAAGCCCCTATAAAACCACTAACAAAGAAAGGCTAAAATTCTTCGTGAAAGCGTGGATCCTGAGAGGAAAAGAGGGAAAGCGTTGCTGAAGAAAGATGGTGAACTCTGGACCCCGATCGAGTCTTTCTTGCAGACCATAAGCCTCACCACAGGTTCATAAAACCAATAATGTTAAATTTCTCCATGCACAGTTAGACATCGCTTGAAGCGCCATCTTGATAGAAGAAACATCAGAACAGCCTAAAAAGTTCTAAATCATTAACCTTTGCTTTTGACTGGTAAGAGGTTTCGCTTCATGTCTTCGGGCAGGGGCAATGCAGACCAATGTGGCCTTTGCAGTGATTTGATAAGTTTTTGAAATGAAACATTAAACTCGCAGGGAAGGACTTACCAGTTGACTTCATCTGACCAATAGTCTAGATCTGCGTTCCCCTTCCACAGGGCAGATCTCCTAGAGCACCACAGTCTTGGAAAGATGAGAACAATGGAAGATGGAACAGCAGCATCTTTACTGAGAGGGAATACAAGAAAGACAGATTACTTGAGGTAAAGGGAAAATAATTTCCCCATTGTCCCAACACCTATATACCTCACCCAGCTTATGGGTGCCCTTCAAACAACACGCCTCTCTCCTTAGCATTTAATGAGCTCCCTTTTCCTTGTATCTGTGGGCTCAGTGCTGTGCTAAGGCTGGGGGTACATGGAGACGAGGCGCAACCCCTGGACTCAGTAACGTTTCATCCTAGGGAGTGAGAAAGCATTAAAGCATGAATTATGTTGTCATAATATAGGATGTCTTGTGGTTCTGTCTGCATAAACTAAAGGATGCGCGCCCATCTCCCCTCACGCCACTGTCAGAAGAGAAAGCTAGAGCCCAGAGGAACAAGAGGAGGCGGCTCTTCACGTGCTTGGCCAGATGAAGTGGCTGTCTCAAACCTGTGCTCCCTGGTGCTCAGTGTCCCTCTCACTACACGCCTAGTCTCTTCTGGACTCCATCAGAGCCCACAGATGAGGCTGAGAGCATAGAATTCCATCCCCGTCCAAGCCTGGTAGCCTCCCAGTGAGGAGACATTCCCCGTCCCTTGGCCACAGAACACACAGCCATACCTCAGGTCAAAAGGCAAGCGGCCAGTGAGTGCCCACGGCAAGCCCATCAGCACCACTGTCCAAAATGCAAGGTTGGCAGCACTGTCCTCACGGATTAAATATGACACATCACCATGATCCCATGGCTCTGACAGACCTCACTGCCTGACCTGCTAGGTCAGCCTCATTCCCACTCGTTTCAGACACCCAGACAAATTAACACGTGCTCCCCGATGAAGCAAAACTGTGTGTGTGTGTGTGTGTGTGTTTCGAAGCCTCCATGCAACTGCATGATCATCAATTAAACATTCACCAGACTTCCACGGACCTAGAAGGGGGAGGCGCCATCAGTTGGCCCCTGAGCATCTGCATCAGCTAGTTCTAAAGTCAGCCTCTCGCCTCGGTCCGTGGAGCATATTTAAACCTCAGTGAAGGGCCCTCACTATCTTTTGTACTGGATCCATCCACCAGGCTGAATGAAGCTTTTAGAACCAGCAAGGACCAGATGGCCCTCCAAGATCATTTCTGAATGTTTCCATCTGAGTCATTTGTATGCGGAAGTCTTCACAAAATAGCAATCTGGGTAGCAGGCTCCAGGCTGAGTCCAGCTTTCCAGACAGCCCATCTTTGCCTACAATTGAGAAGACAAGCACAATATTGTAGGGTTCCACAAAAATATTACAGCCTTTATCTATATGTGTAGCATCAAATACATGAAGTGTCCTTGTCAGGCTGTCACCACAATGGTAGCGTGCCACAACTACCTCCCTCCCCGACTTACTTGTCCTTCTGCCCCTGCACCTACCGCTTCGCCCTCAGCACAGGCTGGAAGCCAGCTTTACCAATCAGCCAGCAGAGGAACTATAGAGCTGGTGCAATAATCTGATTCCGGGCAAATCCAGACACCGAAGAGACTTAGACTAAGGAAAACGGGCTCTAGTCTGATCACCTGCTGGGAGCTCCTAGCCAGAAAGTGGGTGGGATGGAAGAACATGGAGCCAACAGTACACTGGCAGACGGGCCTGCTCATCTGAGGAAGAAGGAAGGCAGCAAGTATGAACACATCATCAGGAGTCCCAGGGTAGGGCCAACTGAGGCTCCTAAATGGGAGGCAAATCCCTATGAAGGGCGTCAACCCAGCACTCGCCGGCTACCCTAGAGGGGTATCTACCCTAGAGAAGAGAAAACTTAGGCTCACGCAAACACTCATACATAGATATTTATAGCAGCTTTGTCATCACCCCAAACTGGGAACGATCCAAATGTCCTACTGGATGTGAATGTATCCAGTGAATGTATAAAATAAATGTGGTATATATATCCATAAAACAGAAAACCACTCAACATTAAAAAAAAATGTAAATTATGGATACATACAACATTGTGGATGAACCCCAAAGGCATTATACTGAGTGAAAGAGGCCTTTCTCAAAAAGCTCTATTTGCATGATTTCATTTATACAAGATTTTCAACATCTCAGCATTGTCAGGGACAAGGGGTGAGAGCAAGGTATGACTACAAAGGAATAGCATGAAAGAATGTTTTGGAGTTGTTGAAACTGTTCTGGATCTTGCTTTTCGTGATGATTACATGAATCTACAGCTGTGTTAAAATTCATAGAAATGTATACGCAAATAAGTCAGTTTCATGATATGTTAATTAAAAAGTAAAAAATTTTAAAGAAAAAATGCATTAAAAAATCAAAGGGATGTAACGTGAGGGGCAGGATGGGAGAAGCAGATGAAGAGTGAGATCAACAAATGGTCATCATCAAGAACGTATAGTTGAGGGGCGGAGCAAGATGGCAGAGGAGTAGGAGACCTGGATTTCGTCTCCTCTCAGGAATTCAGCTGGATAGGGATCAAACCATTCTGAACACCTACAAACTCAACAGGAGATCGAAGAAAAGAAGAGCAACAACTCTCTCATCAGAAAAGCGACCACTTTCTGGAAGGTAGGACGTGCGGAGAAGTGAATCCGAGGCGATATTCGGGAGGATAGACGGCGGGGGAGGGGCCTCCGTCGGCCGCTCTGGCAAGTGATAGAGCCGCGGAGCACAAAATCGGAACTTTTAAAAGTCTGCTCCGCCGAGGGACGTCACTCTGGTGGCTAAGCGGGGGGTGGAACCCTCCGGGACAGTGTGGTCTCAGGACCCTCGGGGTCACACAAAGACCGGGGGTGCCTGAGTGTGGCAGAGCTCCCAGGGATCGGAGCAGGGAAGCCGGCTGCAGAGGCGGAGCCCAGGCGCGGGCTCTCAGCTCGGGGTGGCCATAAACTGGGATCCGCGGCACAGTCGGGCCCCTGCTCCTCCAGCAGGGACCCCACAAGCGGCAGATCCGGGGAGACTCACCTTCCTCCCCCGGGAGGAGCCGCGCGGGAGTGCACCGCAGGGATCTGCTGGGTTTGGAGACTCCACCCGGGTCGGGAGCCAGAGATAGAAACGCGCGGTCACAGGCCGGGGGAGCACGGAGTGCGGCCGGAGACCGGGGAGATGGGAGTGACTGACGGCTTTTCTCTGGGGGCGCACTGAGGAGCGGGGCCCGAGTTCTCGGCTCCCCCGGGGCGGAGATTGGGAGGCCGCCATTTTCACGCTCCGCCTCCAAAGCTGTACGGAAAGCTCGCAGGGAACAAAAGCCCCGGAGAGCAAACCCGAGCAGATCACTTAGCCGGGAGGGGGCAAGGGCGGGGCACTTCCGCCTCCGGCAGAGACATTTGGAAACCACGGCAACAGGCCCCTCTCCCCAGAAGGTCAGCGAGAACAGCCAGCCAAGACCAAGTTTACCGATCAATGAGAACAGCAGAACTCCAGCGCTAGGGGAATACTGCACATAGAATTCACGGCTTTTTTACCATGATTCTTTAGCCTATTAAAGTTAATTTTTTTTTAACTGTTTTTTTTTTCTTTTTGAATTTTTCTTTTTCCCTTTTTCAACCAACATCTTATCAATCCCTTTTTTTAAAAAAAAACATTTTTACTTTTCATTTTTAGAGCCATCTTCATAGTAGTTACCCGTATTTTTAGCTTATATATATAAGTTGTTCTCTCTTTAAAATTTTGAGATAGTTTCTTCTAACAGATTAAAATATACCCTAAATCTCTAGTATATGGTGTTTTCTATTCCCCTGCCTGATCACATCCTCTCCCTTTTTTTTTTCTTCTTTTAAATCCTCTTCTTTCTTTTTTCAAACAACTTCTTATCAATTCCTTTTATAAAATTTTTTATAATTTCCATCTTTACAGTCCTATTCCATCCCTACATCATATCAACCCTTATTTTTGTACATATATAAGTTTTTCTTTCTTTAAAATTTTGGGAGGCACTTTCTTCTAAAAGACCAAAATACACCCCAAATCTAGTGTGTGGCACTGATCTATATACCAGCCTGATCATATTTGATAACATTCTGGTTTTTTTGTTGTTGTTGTTGTTTTGTTTTATTTGTTTTTGTTTTTATCTTTATCTTTTTCTTTTTCTTCTTTTTCTTTTTTCTCTCTTTCCCTTTCTTTTCCCACTGCTTCAGGTCTTTTCTGATTTGTTTAGAGTATATTTTCTGGGGACATTGTTACTCTGCTAGCATTTTGTTCTCTCATTAATCTATTCTCCTCTGCACAAAAAGACAAGACGGAAAAAATCACCTCAACAAAAAGAACAAGAGGTAGTACCGACTGCCAGGGACCTACTCAATACGGACATTAGTATGATGTCAGATCTAGAGTTCAGAATCATCACTTTAAAGATACTAGCTGGGCTTGAAAAAAATATGGAAGTTATTAGAGAAACCCTTTCTGGAGAAGTAAAAGAACTAAAATCCAACCAAGTAGAAATCAAAAAGGCTATTAATGAGGTGCAATAAAAAATGGAGGCGCTAACTGCTAGAATAAATGAGGCAGAAGAGAGAATCAGTAATATAGAAGATGAAATGATGGAAAATAAAGAAGCTGAGAAAAAGAGAGATAAACAACTACTGGATCATGAGGGCAGAATTCGAGAGATAAGCGATACCATAAGACAAAACAACATTAGAATAATTGGGATCCCAGAAGAAGAAGAAAGAGAGAGAGGGGCAGAAGGTATATTGGAGCAAATTATAGCAGAGAACTTCCCTAATTTGGGGAAGGAAACAGGCATCAAAATCCAGGAAGCACAGAGAACCCCTCTCAAAATCAATAAAAATAGGTCAACACCCCAACATCTAATAGTAAAACTTACGAGTCTCATAGACAAAGAGAAAATCCTGAAAGCAGCTCGGGAGAAGAGATCTGTAACCTACAAGGGTAGAAACATTAGATTGGCAACAGACCTATCCACAGAGACCTGGCAGGCCAGAAAGGACTGGCAGGATAGATTCAGAGCACTAAATGAGAAAAATATGCAGCCAAGAATACTCTATCCAGCTAGGCTGTCATTGAAAATTGAAGGAGA